TATGACATTTTAATCCTTGACTTTACAATTATTACATTTTGGTCCTTGGTCACAGATTTGCCAATTACATATTTCCTAACACATGATTTGGTGAAAAATCAATTTTCATCAAAACGGCGAGAATTGGTTTTCCAACTTTTTTTCATTTTTTATTTTCGGCAATGGGAACAAATTTTATCAAAAATTGTAAAAAAATTTTATCCCTTTAATTGACAATTTTCATGAAAAACAAAGCTAAACGAACACCAAAATATAGTTGATCTTTGGATTTGTTTTATTTTATTTTCTTTTTTTTGGCAATAGAAACAAATTTTAGGAACAATTGTAAAAGTGAATATCCCTTAAATTAACAACTTTCATGAAAAGCAAAGTCAAACGAAGACCAAAAGACACTTTTATTTTAACATTTTTTAGGTGAAAAATTATATCAATCAAATACTATTAATTGACAATTCCCACTAAAATAAATTCTAGGTAATTCAATTCCCTTCAATTCATGTTCTTTCCACCCAAATTCCATCTTTACAATAAAATGGACCCTAAATGATTTCTTAGGAAGAAAAATTAACAATGGGGATGAATTTAATTCGAATATTAATTGCTTCAAATGCTTAATAAGATTAAATTAATTCTTATTCAACCTCCAACCCGATAGTTTTCATGCTCTAAGCCGTAACATCTTCTTTTCTTCGTCTGTCCTTTCTTCATCTAAACTACCACCACACCCACATTTGGATTAGTAGCTATGACTTATGAGAAATGTTACCAGAATCGGACCAGATCGACCAATTCAAAGAAAAAAGTCGGGTTATAGGTCAAAACCCGCACAAAAAAAACTATCTAAATAAGATAAAAATCGACCAGTTCCGATAAAATACCAAAAATGTGTTTTCCTTATTTGAATTGTCAAATTGTATTTTCCTAATAACATCCAAAGAGTCTGATGAATGACAATTAGGCAGAATAATAGACAAAAACCAAAACTTATTAAAATTTAACATCCAACTGTCATATTATTTCCCATATAACGACCTCCAAAGAGGCATCAGCCTTTCATAATGTAGTAAAATAAGAAAATGCCATACAAGAGCTGAATAAAACAGAACGGACAAAAGGGATAAATTTGATACTAATGGAAGTAACAAGTGTTTCCAAAGAGGATACATGCACTAGAGGTATTCATTGCACGGTTGAATATGCTATGATTGCAGAAAAAACACAACAGCTTCGAAAATGAAAAGAATATCGAAAGGCTGAAATGCAGATGTTTCACTCCATAAAAAACAGTGGCACAAAATATAGAACCTGGATCACGCATCAAAGCAAACCCGTTGGCTTGATTTCTTTCATTCTTTGCCATCAGCAGCACAAAGAGAACCAAGTTGAGCTGGAGCTTGCGTTTCCACAATTTTTGACGACCCATAGGCAGATATATCAGTGCCCTTCTCCTTCTCCTTCTCAATTTGTTCCTTGATCCAGAAATATGTGATTCTCAGTCCATCCTGCAAGCTCAAGGAACATATTAGATATGGATATGATCAACGAGTAATATGTTACAAAGGGTTCAGTCGATGGACACAAAAGAAAAGAAAAAAAAAACTCTAAACACGTCACCTTCAGTTTCATAGAAGGAGCCCACCCGAGCTTTTCCTTTATTAGAGTGTTGTCTGAGTTTCGACCACGCACACCCTCGGGACCGGGAATGTGATGAATGGGGAGCTTTGTGTTCTCAAAGCTCAGGACAATCTCAGCCATCTCATTCATGCTGACCATCTCATCACTTCCAATGTTTACAGGCCCTCGGAAATCGGATTTTGTCAATCGGAATGCATAAAACAATTCATTTAAGCTGTGAAATGTGCAATCACATTTCTATAATAAAAAACTTTAAGCAATTTTTAATCCTATTATGAACAGATGGCACAAGAATAAGAGTTAGATAAAAGCTCGTCAGACACGCCAATAACCGTCACGTTAGCATAACGATCATTCAGTGTCAGTGCTCTATTGGTTGAGGCAATACTATTTTTTGTTGGTTTGTGTGCCCATATAGTATATTTTGCATATAAAATAATAATTTTGCATTATATTTTGCAAAATTATATCATTCAGTGTCAGTGCTCTATATTTTGCATTATAAAATAATAATTTATAATTAAAAATTATGATTTTATTTATTCATTGTTGAGCATGTGATTAATTGCCTATGATCAGTTGTGATAATATATGTTTGGTACTTGTATTGAAAAGTACAGTATGACACAACTTATTTTTTATCATAAATAATTTATTTACAACTGATATATAAGGGTTGACACCTTGTACCGGAATGTTGTACTGTTGACCGATGCACTATTCAGGTTTGTAATTTGTCATTATCACATAAATGGTTAAATGTGACACTAATACACTTGGAATGTATTGAATAGGCCACGTGTCGAGTTTATTTCATCTAGATCCCTTGACATTGTTATGTATATCTTTCAGTGATTTTAATGGTTCTTTGATCTATCAATGACTGAGATCAATTTGATTAATCAAATATTTCGATGAGTTGGGACACATGATAATGAGTGAAATAGAGAATATGAATTTGTGTCGAAATTGACACCCTAAAAATGGGTGGAGTAACTATTTAAGTATTTCTGTTAAACGGTTAAAATCTGAGTTCAGTGTTCAGCGACAGCTAAATTTCGACATCTGTGACTAATTTATAGGATCGTTGAAGAAAATGAAACTTAATTTAGTTAGAATAATTAGAAGGGCAAAACGATCATTTATACTCGTACCTAATTATCGATCTGGGATGGGGTTAAATACATATACGGTAGGTCAGAGGAAAGTATTACATATTTTTTGGCTTCTGTAATTTTATATATTCCAAAAGTTCAGTCTTTTATCTATAGTGGAAAAAGCAAAGACTAATAATTAGATTGAGCGATCTAGGGTCGACTAGACACAATCTAATTATTGGAGTTTGGATAATATATGTCCGATCAAGTCCCTGTGATAGCTCCATAAAATATTGAAACTTGATTACAGCAATTACAATAGTTTTGTGGCTTTTATCAATTATCCAGATCAAGAATTACTTTCTTGATTTAATTAAAAAAGAAGGTGCCCCTACCTACTAGGTGTAGTCTTGACTTTGAAGAATACCATAAATGACTTAGAGATTTGAAACATCAAGTTCTTGAAATTAAAAAGCTAAAAGTTCGTGATTTAGAATTAATTAAAAAATTGGTCATCGAATTTAGATAAAAAATTGAATTCTTTATTCTTGATATAACATATACATAAATATCTAGATGATCTTATTTATTGAATTAAAAAAAAAATTTAATTTCTGAATAATATCGCTTCCGCATTGGGTCACTTCTACTGGTATTAAGATTATTTTTTCAAACAATATTCATCTTGCAAAGAGAGTCGGGTTTACATGACAAATTGGAAAACAAAACGCAAGGACCATTGCTCAATCTCGGCTAGAAAGAAACAATCTCTAATGTTTACTATAGAAAAATTCTTTTTCTTAGGTAAACATACCTCAGACCACCCTCGACGCATTCATCAATAAAGGTGAAAGATCGTGTTTGTAAACCATCTCCCCACATCTCAAATTTATCAGTGGATGTAAGGGATTTCCGACAGAAGGCAGCAGGTGCCTTCTCCCTCCCACCTGCACCAATTTATGAAAAACGTTGACAATTTAAAGAGAAGACGCCGCGAACTATTAAAGAGGGAAAAATACTACAGCTTCTCACTGTATCTTCAAGTTTACCTTTCCATGTCCCAAATGGACCATAGATATTATGGAATCTTCCAATTCGGCATTCAATTCCAAAATCCTTGTTGTAGTGTTTATAGAGTTCTTCTGTTACCAGCTTCTCTAAGCCATAAGCATCTTGAGGCTAAAAATGAAAACAGTATAAAATCTCATCGACAATGCTAGACATCCGAAGTTTAGTACAAGAATTTTACGAGAATAAGAAAAAAAACCTCAGCAGGCCTAGCATCAGACTCCTTCAAGCTCACGTTGGGATCCAACTGCTTAAATTCAGGATAGATACAAGCACTGGAGGCGAAGAAAAACCTGAATCCAAATTGGAGAAAAATCGATATTCAGATTCTCACATCTATATATATGCCTCACTGAATTTATTTTAAAGAAAAACTCTGCATATTTAACAAAAAACAATTTTGATCTCAGATTGGAATGCAGCTAATGCATGTGATGGCATGGAGGATATCAATTGTTCGCTGAAATAACATACATCCATTGAGAAAAGGGCATCTAATAATTGATTCTTCACCCCTTCCTAAGAAACTGTTCTTACTTTAGTAACATAACATCAAGTTAGTGAATGCTACTGTACTGACTAAATTCAGGATGTAAAGCTATTTAATCATATAATTTCTTGTACGAATTACCAGTATTCTACTCATAAACCCAAATGCTGAATAAAATCAAGAAGATTAAAGAAATTGAACCTCTTGACTCCATTAATCCTGGCAGCCTCGATCATGTTAAAACTGATCATCGCATTGTTATACATGATGACAGAGTGATTTGACTGAATAAAGCCCATCCCTCCCATATCCGCAGCAAGAAACGCGTGATCAACTCCTTGGGTAACTTTCAAACAGTTATCCATCACTCTCAAACCAACAAGATGGAATTCATGACAGAACATATCCTCCATCATGTGCTCATTTTTCTTCCAGTCAGAAGCAATTATGTAATGACCTTCAGTCTTCAGACGCCTGGCAATGTGCGAGGCAATGAATCCACCTGCTCCAGTAATGGAAATTCGAAGCTTTTCCGTCGGCCAGTAGGGTTCCCTCTCGAGGTTTTCGTAGGTGTATGAGCCATAGTTGGTTTCGTCTGTGGTTCCCATTCTGCAGTAAATCCCCGGGGGGGCGGGGGGGAGGGGGGGAGTTCAAGACTAAATAAAACCAATGACAATTAGCCCAATTGTGCTACATGAACATTAAGGTTGACATCAAATTTGACATAATGTCACTTGACATTATATTATTATACAGTTTAAAATACAGTTAACTTTTTCATACAATCCTTTACTGCCACATACAATTATGTCAAATTTTCTGTCAAATCCTTCAACAAAGTAGCTTTATCCCGATTAGCCAATGTGGATTTACAAATTGATAACATATCAGGCAATTGGACTGAAAAGGAAAATTATTACATCTAAAAGGATGCCATTAAGCTATCTTATCAAAGAAGTCTACTAAAATAGTGAGTAAGAGGGTGTTTGGGAGCTATTTTTATGTAAAAATGCATTTTGAAATAGTAAATTGATGGAAAATGTGTGGTTGAAAAATAAAAAAAATAATTTGATTTGCGTATAATATTATTTTAATGAAAAATGTGTGGTTGAAAAGAAGAGAGAGAAAAATGCTTTTTGAAAAAAATAGATACCAAACGGGGGTTAAATAAGTGTCGGCTAATCTTCCTCAGCATAATTTAACAGAAAATGAAAAGCAAAGAAATACACGAGACTAATCAAATCCACTTTAATTATATACTTATAATGACAAGCAATAAGTGAAATAAGAGAAAATAAGTAAGGAAAAGAAAAAAAGCGAAGGGGAAAGAATCAAATTTTACATTCGCTATCCGTAGACAGCTCAGTGGGAGTTTGTATTTTTGCTTTTCATATTGGACACATGTACTGTTATTTTGGATACGGTTTAAAGTTAAAGTTATTTTC